TGCATGGCATGCGTGTCTGTTCATGAGTGGCTGGATGGATGGCTGAATGGTTTGACGTGCGGTGTCCGTATTACTGTAGTGTACATGCATTTGATTCGGCGCCTTAACCGTGCACTACACGCAATGACATCCAAAGGCATCAATCATCAAGCTTGTGACTGACTGATTGATTGGTCCGCCCAGGCCACGCATGTTTTTTTGTTTGTTTGCATGTTATGAATGCATCATTCCTGAAATGACATGATCTCACCCACACACATCCCCCCCGCCCGGCTGCCAGCAAGCCCAGCCCATACACGAACCAACACTTCGCAATGCAGGGCGGTTTTAGCTTTCTTCGTATCCTAACAAACGTCGATCGATGGATGCACAAGGCCAACAGATGTAAAATGTAGGCAGCAATACAAAAAGGAGCACACGCGTGCCACCACAGCCTCCCCCCCCCCTCCCTGCCTCATCTGAATGTGATAAGTCTGCAGCAGCCAGGCTGCGGCGATTGGTCCCTCCTCCTCCTGGGCGGCGGCGCGGCGAATGGTGGTGGCGGTGGTGGTATGGGGCAGTATCGGGCAGGGTTTGGGTACACTCGTGGGGCCTCATCTGAATGAGAAAAGGCCGCAGCAGCCAGGCTGCGGCGATTGGTCCCTCCTCCTCCTGGGCGGCGGCGCGGCGAATGGTGGTGGCGGTGGTGGTATGGGGCAGTATCGGGCAGGGTTTGGGTACACTCGTGGGGCCTCATCTGAATGAGAAAAGGCCGCAGCAGCCAGGCTGCGGCGATTGGTCCCTCCTCCTCCTGGGCGGCGGCGCGGCGAATGGTGGCGGTGACGGTATGGGGAAGTATCGGGCGGGTGGCGCTAGAGTGGGGACATACAGCCCCGGCAGGGCCGCATGTGGCTGTGCCATGTAGGGGAGTCGAAGGTGGGCCGGAGGTATAGCGGCGCCCGGGCACTCGACACGGCCGCCGTGGCGATCGTTGAAGTTGCCGTGAGCACCGCCCTCGTGCCGCTGATGCTGCTGGCCCACACCCACACCTCCGGCACCCCATCGACCCCCACCAAACACCGGCCCTCGCACCGGCTCACGGACGGGGCGGAACTGGCCTGGCCCTTGCTGCTGCTGATGCTGCTGCTGTTGGCGCTGGTGCTGGTGCGGCTGGTGTTGGTGGGGCTGGAGCTGCTGGTGGGCCGGGCGGGGGGCGCCGTAGATGCTGCTGGCTGCCAGTGGCACGTGTGGCTGCGGGCTGAGGGGGGCCGGAGAGGGGAGTGCCGCTGGTGGGGCTCCTGGTGCCGCTGGTGGGGCTCCTGGTGCCGCTGGTGGTCCCGCCGCCATGGGCCGGGCGATGGGCGGCTGTGGTGCGGGAGGCACACCATTGGTGGTGGTGGTGGTGTGTGTGTGTTGGGGCCGGGCTGTCGATTTTGATGGCCGCCTGTTGCTTGAGTTGTAAGTTCTGTGGGCGCATTCATGAGACCACAAACAACAGCACAGAGACGGCAGAGAATGAACCACGTGGGCTATTTGCCTGCTGCTGTCTGTCTGTGTGTGTGTGTGCGTGAGTACCTTGGCTTTCAGTGCTTCAATCTCGGCCGCCATGGCTTTCTTGTCAGCCTCCAACGCCTTGCTGGCCTTCTGCTCGACGGATACACACACAGGCGGACACAGACAGGCACGTGTCCACACCACCTGCACACACGCCCCACCGTGGGGCATTCATTATTCTGACCTACCTCCTTCTGGGCGAGCATCTGCAGGAGGACTTCCTGCACGACGTCGTGTGAAAGAACGCACCATACCATGACGTGTGCACACGTGCGTTCACACAGCACCGATATATCGATCGACTGACTCATGCATCGCATCGCACGGCACCCACCTGTCTCTCTTTCAGCTTGACGACGCTCGTCTGGTAGATTTGGGCCCGGTCCCTCCACTCCTTGACCCTCTCTGCAGAGAGAGGGACAGACACACAGGAAGGGAATTAAGGCGGGGGCCAGTACGTGAGCTGTTGCTGACTACCGACTCACTCTGGAGGTACTCCTTGTCCTCGTAGAGAAACACGAGGTCCATGGCCTCGCTCCACGGCCGCCCGGGGGCCAACTCTGTGCCAGCGCCACACGCACAGCCCACAAAGCCGCATGACATTCAACGCACCTATCTGACGGCCGGGCATTCCCCCTCCCTCCCTCCCTCCTTTCATTCTTTCTTCCTTTCTTCTGTCAGTCCACTCACTTTGCCACAGGTCCCTCCAGCGCTGATTCTGATCGGCGTAGATCTGGAACATCTCCTCGTCCGTCGTCCACGGGCCCCATGGAAGGCTCTCGCTCGCTGCTGCTGACGCCATCGCTGCTGCTGGTGCTGCTGATTTCCACACACACACACGCATACGCGCACACAAACACATCATCCTGCCTCTTACTTCCATGCTGGATGCCCCTACTTCAATGCTGTGCAGACAGTCAACCGCTCGCAGCAGGCAAGCCATAATGCGCCGGCGCAATTCCTCAGGGACCCGCAAGCGCTCGGCCTTCTTGCGGGCCAGCAGCTCAGCAACCGTCGTGCCGCGAGCCATCTCCATCACGATGTAACAGTACTTGTGGTCACCCACACACCTGCACAGGCACATCCAAACCGAACCAGGCTGCAGAGGCAGCTCCCCATCGCGGCAACACAAAGTATCCTCCCTTCATTTGGTCGTCTCGGCCGGCCCCGCTCACTCCCATCCCCCTTCCAGCCACCATCAGCCCTTCTATACGTCTGTAGGCCGCGACCGCCGCTTCTCGGAGGCGGGTGGTGGCGACCCCTGAGGTGATCTCCATACGGCCAATCTGAAGTCGACAACAGGCGACCAACCAATATGTAATATTGACCGGTGCGTCTGGCTTAGCAGTTGTGTGTGTGTCTGTGTTTGTGCGTACTGAGACTGCTGGTGCCGCTGTTGGTGGTAGAATGCTGGAACTTGCCGCCCATGCCCGCAGTCGATCCCCTGACAGACACCTGACAGACGCCCACACGACACACAAACACGACAGTGATGGAGGGATGATGCCAGTTCTCTTCGCTCACGTCTTGCGCGGTCCATCCACCCCCGCTACCACCCCCATACCCATACCCATACCGCTGCCCCGCCTGCTGGCCATATGGGCGGTGCGGCGGGGAGGGGGAGGCGGGGTAGGAGGGGGAGGTGGGGTTGTGGTAGGCACTGAGGCTGTCGAATGGGGTCGAGCCCGTGTGCTGCGACGAATGAGCATCTGAGAAACAGAAACAAAACACTCTCAGATGATACGTAGAGCGTCATCTCTTTCAGGCTCACAGTATGACGTCGACGGTACGGGTAAATCGGATCGAAGAAGGGCTGCTATCTTCTTGTCGTGTTCGTCCTGGCATAGGACAATAGCAGACAAGGGAAACTCTCTCTCTCTCTCTCTCTGTGTGTGTGTGTGTGTGTGTGAGTGTGTATGTGTGTGTGTTTGTATTGATCGGTTCACCCTCAAGCGGCCCTCCTGCATCCACGTGTCTTGCAGCAAATCCTGCACCATGGACAAACACGCACACACAGGACATACACACATGAATATGTCGGCCACCATGTGTGTCAGTACCCGCAGTCTCGTCTGCATCATCAGGATGCGTTTCGTCATCTCAGCCGGCAAATCCTGGCGGTCCCCCTGGGTCATCGCCAGCGCACGCTCATAGTGGCCCTCTCGCCTGAGCTGGGTTAGCGCCGACAAGTTCGCTCCGCGGACAGCCTTGCTTAGGCTCTGCTGGGCGGCGGCGTGCAGGTCTCTCAGGGCCACCAGCTCCCTCTCCTCGGCCTCGAAGCCGGGACCTGTCAACGGACGGACGGCCAGCCAGAGAACGAAAGAAATGCGTTTGTCCAAATGGACCGACTCCGCTCTGCCAGCTACCTTGGTAGCGCTCCGCCAGCGCGCGGTCCGCCTCAGCCAGCATCTGGTCCATGTACTCTTTCCCGGTATATCATCTTTTGCGGCCATCACGATGCGCAAAAGATGATATACCTCGATTTCGATGGCAATGGCGCACAGATGTGCGGCCAGCAAGCTGCCGAGATACTCATACTCTTCGCCTCAGGTCAGCAGTTTGGGATCTTCACCGAGAAAAGAGAAAAAAAAACGTCGTCTCAGGCGCGGAAGTCGTTCTCGACTTTCTTTCTCGACATCCGGTCGGAAAAGCTGTTGCTCTTCTTCGTCGTCTCCTGATGGGCAGCCGCTACCTGCATCAAATGAACATTCGTCCCTGTCTTCTGTCCGGCTTGCCTTCGGTGATGACGCCGCTGTTCCTGGGACGGCGATTCGGCTCGGTGAAGGTACCCTTGGTCGCCGCCTTGGCCCAGGGCCTTGGCATGTGCCCATCGATGTATACGTGATAGATTGGATCGTTGGCGAAGGGTGTGATGAAAAATTCATCGTCACAGAAGCAATAGCGAGTCATGAGTGTCCTACAGCCACATCCCATACACACTCAAGATGCCTGTCTGCTCGTGTGTGTCTATGTGTGTCTGCCTGCCTGCATCTGCGTGTCAGCCAGCCTCTCTGCCCGGCCCTCCCATAGCTAGACAGCATGGCAAGAAACTCCAGTTGAAGAACCGGCCGCCAAGCCAACCCGGCCGACACCTCTCTTAGAGAACAAAATCAGGCCAGGGGTGTACACACATCCAGCCACACACACGCGCGCATTCGAGCAGGCCGACGCATCGAGGGAAGGAGAAAGGCATTGCAGGCAGACAGACAGACAGACGGACAGGACAGGACAGGACAGGAACGGACAGGAACAGGCCGGCCAGTGGTAGACAGAGGCAAGGGTGCATCAACTCATGAATTGTGGGCTCGTTGCCCACCCACCGAACTCACACCACTCGCTCCTCTCCCCTCTCGCATCTCTCTGCGTGGCTGCAGGCAGGCAGGAAGGACCCTACAGTCACATCCATGCTTGCCTGCCTGCCTGTCTGACCACCCCGCCACTCCCCGCCCCGCCCCGCCCGCACTGCTCTCGTCCATCAGTCAGCCACTCGACACACATCAATCATTGTCGGGCACCAAAAAGGGCTGTGATTGGATCCCAAGCGCACAGCCAGCCACACGCAGATATGTATGTTGCGGGTGTGAGTTTGTGGTGTACCCCTGCCTGACACACGCACATCGTGCCGTAGAACACACACATGTATGTCTGTCTGTGTTCCCTCCTGACGTCTGGCCATCGCAGCGCCCGAGAGAACAAAACAAAGGAAAGAATAATAATTGTACACACACATAGATAGCACCGTTGACAGACAGAGAGGCAACCAGCTTGCAGACACAACGATCAGCAGCCGGCATGACACGCAGCACCAGGCAGGCAGGCAGACAGGCAGACCCATCGACAAAGACCCCTCCCTTCCCTCTCTTCTTCCCAGTCGGATCCATTTAGATGAGCATGCCCAGTCTATCTCCCGTCGTCTTGGCCTTCTTGATCAGCCGCTGCCGCATGCTCCGCTGCGCCCCCGTGAAGTCGCAAAACTGCGTTATCACCTGGCTGTGCAAGGCGATGATCTTCCCCCGCACCTTGTTGAGCTGTTTGTCGCCCAACACCAGCTTGCCAATCAGCACCGCCGGCGAGAACAGACCAAAGGTGGCCTGCTTGCCCTTCTTGACCGCCTTCTTCGGCGCTTCTGCCGCCGCCTCCGGCTCGCTGGGCGCCTCGACGGCCGCAGGTCTCTCCTCCACTTGGGTCTCCTGCATCCTCAGGTGTGTCCTGGAGGGGCGGTGGAGGTGGCGGGGGGGTGAAAGGCTGCCCGATGGCCTCCACGAAGATGGTGAGGGGGGGCGGGAGACGAAGGCCTGCACAGGAGGCACAAGAGGCGCGAGAGACAGACACAGGCGTTGCACACGTATGAGATGAGAGATGCACCGCTGGCTGGCCTCTTTGGCAGGGTGTGGTGTCCCTTGGTAGGTCTTTACCGTTACAGAGCAGCTGAGGAAGCCGAGCAAGCCAGCGATGGTGAGCTTCATTGCCAGACCAGCAGTGCAGCCCGTCACTCTCAGCAGTGCAGACAAGGGCGGGAGCAGCAGCAAGACAAGGCGTGGCAAATTCGTTGGTGTGGGATGCGAGCTACGTCAAAGAAGCGTTTCGCGCTAGGGCAGGACAAATTCTGCCACCATGCGCCCCTCGCCCATCGCCTGACTCCCAGAGATGTGATGGAGGGGGATCTGGCAGCTGGGGATAAGCGAAGAATGGAGAAGAATGAAGAATTTGAAGCTCCTCTGCTGGGCTACCACTCACGGGACATCAGTGTGTTGGAGGTCAATGAGTGCACTCTGGACCTCACGAGGGCCGCCAGCAAAGACAGCAAGGCCGCCGCCCCAGCAGCAAAGACACAGGAAGGCAGCATCGCCCTCCTCTTAGCTCTCAACTTCGCCGTAAGCCTGCCTCTGGGGACAGTCAGTCAGGGCAGAAGAAGCCCGTCATGGGGTGGTAGCGTTGTTCTTTCTAATGGCATGATGGATGGATGAATGTCTATGTTCAGATCTTCTGGGTGTACTCGCAGAAGACTCTGCCCGCTCCTTTCTTGGCCAACTACCTTGCCGGCAGGGGCATCAGTGGGGCCGGAATGGGTTAGCATACCAGACGGACAAAACCGGCGGGCGCAGCGAGAGCCTCCGTTGATGGATGTGATGCATCTTGGTCGCATCGCCCTGTCTGTTTCCCTGCAGGCATCTTGTTCGGGATCTTTCCCTTGTGTGGCTTCGTGGCTGCCCCCGCTGCGGGCATCGTCGTCCTGAGATTCGGCGCGGTGCTGTGCCTCGGCGGCAGCCTGCTTGCCATGGTATGTATGGCCATCCGACCTTCCTCCTGCGACCGACACTCTGTTGTCGTTCTTCTGGCGATGTGTCTGTCAGGCCACCGCAGATGTCCTTCTGGCGCTCTTTCGCACCTTTGCTGCAATCCTGGTGCTGCGAGCCGTTCTGGGAGCGATGTGCAGCCTCTTCACGTCGGCGACATTCACACTGCTTGCGCGACATTTCCCGCACAATCTGGCCTGGACCATCGGCATTGTTGGTACGCGCATGGCATGTGGAAGGGTGGATGTATGTTGTGGATATATGTTGTGGAGTTCAATCGTCTTGTGCCTTTGGTGGTCTGTCTGTTTTCTCTGTCTGCTCAGAGACGGTCCTGGGCACAGGTTGCCTGACCGGCCGCTGTATTGGGGGGTTCCTCTATCAGATCGGTGGATTCCCCTGCCCATTCCTGGCGCAGGCTGCCTTGTTGGTCATGAGCGCGGCGTACGCTACCCTCCTTCTCAAGCGCGCCCCCCTGCACCCCTCCAGCTCTGCCGCGTCCGTCCAGCCAATCGCCGACCAGACGACAGACGCCAAGCATAAGGACACGGCAGCAGTTGAGCAGTACCCCACCCCCGACGTCACACCATCATACGAGTGGAAGGGCACGCCCTACGACGTGGGAGCTGACGAGACCAAGACGGGCTACATCGCATCACTGGAGCCCAAACCAGCAGAGGATGACCACACACCGCGGAAACGGTTTCCTCGTTTCGGTCGTGGGGCTAGGAGGGGCGAGGGAGGGCCGAGTGAAGGCGAGAATTCGCCGGTGCAGCGCCACGGTGGCGCTCCACAGCCCAGGAGGGCGGCAGCGGGGAGGGAGAGGGCTGGTGTTGGTGGAGATGAGAGGCATGGGCAAAGGAACCCGCTGCGACAGATTGGGTACATCGGTGTGCTGCGAGAGTGTCCCCAGACGCTGCTCACGCTGGCCGGGGTGGCGCTGACGGTCACCTGCTATAGCTTCTACGGTGGGTGGGTTAGGGATTTGGATGGTATGGAGTGTGCATGTGCTGTGCCGTGCCCTTGCTGTGCTGTGCTGTGCTGTGCTCTGCTGTGCTGTGTCAGACCCAATCCTCGCCCCAAGGCTCAATGTCTTCTTCGGTGAGGCGACAGGCAACAGTGCCCGCTCACGTGCGGTGCCCCTCTTTGCTTTGCTCATGTGTGTCGTTGGTGTGTGCGCATCTTGTTTGTGGCATCCTTCAGGCCCTCTGCCCGATGCGGCCATCGGCGCCATCACTGCGATAAATCCGTGCAACTACACGTTCGCCGCCGTTTTGGTTGGCAAGTGGACCAACAGTTGGCCCGCTTACGGCGTTGTGGAATCTCTGGGCTTCCTCTCCCTGGTCGTGGGCTACCTCCTCCTCGGCCCCTGCTGGCTCCTCCTCAAAATGGGCATCGGCGACCATTCGAGTACATGCGCTGCAGACATACATGAGTGCTGCCTGCGTGCACAGCGAGTGCATCTGTCGTGTGTGTGTGTGTGTGTGTGTGCTGATCAATCAGTCGGTGCATGGGTGTGTCTGGTGGCGTCGCTGACACTCATCCCCTGGGGCGAGGCACTCTCATTCGTGCCGGCGATACCATGGATGGCGGTTAGTAAGGAGGGAGGGGCACAGGGAGGAGGGAGGGAGGGAGGACCATCCGCCTGTGTTGATGCCAGTCTGCATGTGTGAATAAATGGATGGCTGGCTGCAGGAAGACGCCAAGCACCTGGGTGGAGAAGCAAAGGAGCTTTTGGTGGCCCTGTGCGTGTCGGCCATGTCGCTGGGAGAGGGTCTAGGTCCCGTCATTGGCGGCGTGTTCGACGCCAACTTCGGCTTCTCAAGCGCCTGCACCCTCCAGTCCTTCATCTACCTCTCCTTCATGGCAATCATGCTTGTGGTCCGCCGGCCCTTTGCCAAGCTGATCGCCGCACGCAGCACCCCGCCGTCAGTTCACGTCTTGGAGGCTCCCCTTCTGGAGAGCAGCGGGCCATCCCGCTCCCCCCAGGCGCCATTGGTCCTCAGTGATCTCGTCAACGTCGATAACTACGTCCCACCCTCGCGCCTCTACCGCGTCCTGAGCGAGGGATCCGAGCGGTCCGCTGCCGCCAACTCACACATGTCCAGCGCCTCGTATCTTTCGGAGGTCTCGGTGTCTTCCCTCACTGACGAGGTGGCTCACGCCGGCCTGGGCCCCATTGTTACGCCCGAGGTGCTTCAGGCGATCGGGTCGGTCACATCTGCCGCCTCGTATGCGGCGCAGCATGTTCGGGCGACCACCATTGAGGGCGACGAGGAGTCCCTGACGGACAACGAGGGGCTGCCGCTGCCTGAGCCACCCCTGTCGCCAGGGAGGGGGCTGGGGCAGCTGGGGTTCAGGGAAGGACCGTCGCCGGAGGACACCATGGCCAGTCAGCCGTTTCTGTCGCCCGCTGGTCTTTATCGCACCTTGTCGGTGACACAGGGAAATCCAGACCAGAACCACTACTACAGGCCGCCACAGCAGCAGCAGGAAGGCGTACCTGGCGGCGACACTGGGGCTGAGAGGGACAGGGACAGGGAGCCCGACATGTCTTTGCCGACGGGCAGCCCGCTGCCACAGATACAGGTGAGGTGCGCTGTCCGGTGCTCATCTGTGTCCGTGTGTATGTGTCTGTCACTCACTGGTGTGGGTGTGGTTGACTGCTGCCCGTGTGTGATGCTTGCAGGAGGGCGTTCGGCTGGACATGAGGATTTCTCGTGCTGAGGAGAGCAGGGCGTTCCCGTCCATGCGCGAGGCGGGAGGTGGGGAGGGGGGAGACGAGCAGCCGAGGAGCGAGCGGAGAGGGTGGACGGCTGATACTGACTGAACCATATCAGGCCAACAAGTGAATGAAGAATGAAATGAATGAATGGAGACAGACAGACATGGTGACACAGACGGCCAGGCGGTGTGCAGAAGTGATATCGAGTAGGTGTATGTGGATGCGGCAGGCAGTTTGGCGCACACAGCACGATAGAGGCAAGCTTGGATGGATGGGTGTAGCGAGAGAGAAGTGAGACTTGACGCTGGTTTGTCCCATCATCACCACACAGTTGCTCACTTCGCGGTCTCCTCGAGTCGGATGGATGTGGCGGAAAGTGGTGACTGTGTGGTGATGCTGGGACAAGCTCGTCGGCCACCACAGCTGACGGTTGAGACCTTTTCTCCACACGAAGATAGTGAGGGGCTTGGGGGAGGCCGACACATCATACACAGACAGGGTAGGGTATTTGTCATGTACCTGTCTGTATCGAGCATGTGTGTGTGTGTGTGTGCGCGTGTGTCAATGTGTCCATACACTTACTTGTCCTGTCGGCCCTGTGACAGACAGACAGAGGGACGGGATCACTGATTTTGCCATGTCATGTCATGTCATGTCATGGTGGGGGG